TTAAATTAAATACTGCACTTATTTTTTTTAGTTCGAAAGTGTTAAAAGCGTATGATATTACTTTCTCGAAAAAACTCGAATTTTGTTTCTGGAAGCAATTTGTTCTGAGGGAAATTAAAACAACACGCTCCCGATTCAGCTAATTTTTATCGAAAAATTTTTTAAAAAGTGTTTAATTGTAAAATTTTTAAGTAAACCAAAGAAGCAATTTTCACTTTATCCAAAAGGACTTTCCCAAAACCAAGGGAAAATTTCCCCAAAAGGTTTGGGCAAAAAATGATAAAAAGCCCTTTTCTTGCGGGTTTTTTAACGCAAATAGAAATATAGGGTGTAAATACTGAAAAAACCCGCCATTAATCACAAAAATTTAAAATGTAAAAATAAATTTCTTGAATCTAGAAACCTTTTACTTTTCCCTACATCTTAGTACAATTTTTCTCAAGTTTGATTTAATTGAAAAATTTTGACTCATCTGGAGGCTTTAAGTGTATTGTTTCTTGTTTACGGAAACAACAGGGTTTGAACCTACAAAACCTACAAAGCAAATTCGCATTGTGTAATAAGTATGATTATAATAATGTAAGAAGGCAGCGCCGTATAAAAGGAGACAGTATCTGATTATTGCCTAGTATATAATCCAATGTTTCTGACATCTAAGACAGAATATCGCATATTGTAAATGACACATTAGAAAATGTTATGCATAAGAAACGCCTACACGAACAGTTTTGCGAGAGAAAAAAAGCATCCTGTTACAGGCGTATGTTAATAATACAACCTCTATATCGCCAAAAGAAAGGCGCCACATTGTTATATTGAAAGTTCAGATAAAGTGCAAGTAAAATGCAGATTTAATCCCAAAGAAAACGGAATAATTTGAATTAAATTGAAAATTTGAAATACTTAATCAGGGAAGCCGTTTGCAAGATTTTCTATCAAAATAAAATCATGTCAAAATTTAAAGTATATTTGTGATATCAAAATTAAATATCGTGCCAAGATGCTTTAAACTTATTCTTGCACAGTGAGAAAGATCAAGGAATGACATTATGCTCATTTTTTGTTGGCAAGTTTTAGCTGAATAAGAAATATATTTAGAAACATTGATTTTTATAATGGTGGCCAATAATTGATAAAATAACTGGTTGTATTGTTAAAAAGTCTGGCATTGTATGTTTGTATTTATTTGTCTGACTTCTATGGCTATATAATCACCATTATGATGATTAGCCAATCAAATTTGTTGTTTTTGGAGACGCTGATTCATTTTCTGAAGCGCCATGAACATGTAATAGATGTTATTCGGTACTCGGTAAATGCCGTTGTTTTTTCCCCATCTAATCTCGTGCTACACACTTTACGTACCGTTCACCTTATGGTTATCACTGTTTTAATATGCGTATATATTATTTATTATTATTAGTATTTTTTACAAAGTTGTTACACTTAATACTTTGCTTGTACCCAAGGATAAGCTTTGGCGTGCGTGGCAGAGTTGTTGAGATCGCTGACTTCAAACCATTCTCCCCAACCACTGCGAGCTCAAGGAATTTCGATTATTTCGTGGGGAAAAAGCTTTCCCGCTTCCTGATTAAACTTCGGTGGTTCTACTCAGGTGCCCATTTGTGCCTGAAATAATGCACGGACTAGTATGCCTTACCAAGTAAAGCATGACACTTGACATATAACCTTTCCTGTGTGGTTTCGATATAAAACCAAACAAAACAAGATGGGGTGAGCACTTTTGCCGAGTTCCCGAGTGTCTCTATTTTGCTATAGCTAATGGTCATCCCGGCCTTATAAAGTCTACCAATTCAGTAAAGCAAACTCTACTCATGTTAGCTGAGACATCTATTTGAAATTTATCAAATTCTTCTACAATTAAATTGTTATTTTGTTCTTTAACTAAATTGAACGGTAATTGTTTTAATTTTTCTTTAACGAAATTGAACGGTAATTGTTTTGACTTTGTCTTGTTTGAATGCCTAACAAGCCGTTTAGACTTATTCTTAAAAGGCTTGCCAACAATACTTTGATTGGAGCTTAATACATACTCGTGCTATATCTTGAGAAAAGTAAAATGAAAATGTGGTATATGCTTAAAAATCAGAAATATTAAAGGACATCGAATACGGTATGAAATATTGCCATGCGCTTTCTCTAGGAGCACTTATCCATGCCTTAACAACGGGTGTAAGTTTAAAATCAGTAAATTAAATACAGCATGAACTGTTATATCAGGCTGTATTTTGTCTAATAAGATAAAGCATAGTAAAATGAACTGATTAAGAGGTTAACATTTTAAGTGGCAGATTTTCATACATATATACTTATCTCAATTTATCCTAACCAAATGATAGGTATTTGTATTGAACTTGAAATAGTCAAGCGTTAGATAATTGTATCGACAGCTGAGTAAGGTAAAGGCTAATTTTATTTAAAGGCCCATTATGCCTCAGAAATGCTGTGCATTGTTATTTCTCAAAAACTGGGATTGTTTTGTTTTTTCCTACAGTTTCCAAAATCATACTCATTTGCCACATAGATGAACTACTAACTTTTGCTTCTTTTGCTCTGTTTACCATTGGTATAACTATAGTGAATTAGTATTTTGTATGGAGGTGAAAAAACCACAATGTTAACATTAAACTACAGCTAAACTACACATTACTGCATGTTCGGCCAGTTTTTGAAATGTCCCCACCGGTCTTTCGTGACAAGCAGTGGTGTTACGTGCTTTTATGTAGTTTCCGGCTACCAATGCTAAACTGTATTATCTTTAATATGCAAATGAGTCTGCAATAAGAGAATAAGCAGTTAGCGTATTTTAACCAACTCAATGATGTTATGGCATAATTATTCGAATCAAAGTGCTCGAAGGACAGACATATTGTTATATCATTTTGCTTATTATTGACAATCGATGTTATTGTCGTTGTTGTTTTTTTTTTATTCTCACATATCTACCAGTAAATTATGCTTTCATATAAAGACGATATGACTGTAGTAATCAAAGAGTTGATTTCTGTATTTGACACATGTGTTACTCTATTAATATTATGTTATAGTTAATCATGTGGTTATGCAAGATTTCGGAAAAGCGTGCTTTTTCCTACTATAATATAGTTGTACCGTTTCATTTGAGGTTCATATAGAAATTAGCAGTCATTTCTTTATTTAGTTGACTTTACAAAATATCAGCAATATATGGATAAAACTATTTACATGGTGACATTTGTATTCAGCAAATAAGTTAAAAAATTTGAAACTCATATACAGATTTCGACGATCAATTTGAGCAAAAAAAAATATCGTGGCTTTTAAGCATTTGTTATCTAATAGAATTTAGTTAGATAAAGAAAGGAAATTAAAACAATATATTAATTTATTACTGTCTGGAAAAGTTTATGCAATTTGCATATTAATATGAATTTGGTTTAGGTGAAACATAGAATAGACTGTGTATATAAAAGCATTTCAAATAATGGCTTCTCGTGCAAACTGGAATAAACTTCAAAGATTTAGACGTCCCATGGAAGTTGTGGATGAACATCAGGTGATGTGTTGTTTGTTGTTGTTGTTGTTGTTGTTTGTTGTTGTTTGTTGTTGTTTTCTTTTTCATAATCACATCATAGTTTCTGTAGAATAGTTAATAAGGGAATCTTAATGAACATAAAGAATTACTTACGACTTTGGTCTACAGATATTGTGTGAAGAAAAAGACGTTTAATTTTTTGTAATGAAAGTATGCACTTAATGGCACATTATGCTATAGAAAGTCATTTTTTTATAATTCGTGACATTTGTCAAAAATGTGTTTTATGGTGTTTTAATAATGGATTTAGAGCATGTAACTAGATGTTTAACAACTAGAGAAAGTAGCACTGGTCATGTAGTAATGTTTCGTAAAGGAAGCAAAATGTAAACAAGGTATACGTAGTATTTTGACTTACAAACAAAGTACTACCAGTAACTCACTACACTTATACCAACTGTAATTAGAGCAAATGGAGCAATAAATAGTCCATCTTTCTGGCAAATGAGTATTTTGGGATACTGTAATAAGATACAAAAATAAATAAAATAAAAAGTTTTGAGGAATAGAAATGAGGCATAATGGGCCTTTAAGGACGTTTTCGGTAGTTTGCATACGCCTATATGTCTATATGAAACTCCCGAAATCGTCTATGTTATGTGTTAATTAAATGTGCAACCGTTGCACTTGAAAAAAAAATCTGTCATGAGATTTTGGGACAGATGATTTGTAGGTTATACATTTTTTAACAATAATTGAAGAGTGGCTGCCATAAAGAATAGCTCAGCTCAGGCCTTATCCTTTTTCAACAATGCATGTTTGTATTGTGTTCATTATTACTACTATATATATATATATTCACACATATCTTCACTTACGGGGCCTATTTATAAGACCGAGTTGAGTGGCATTATTTCATGCAGTCAGTTTTTATATATGAACTGTTCAATTTTTGATACTATACAGTACTACGTATTGAGATTTTGTGCTCGATTGTGTGCACATTATACATGTAATACACCCCTGATGAAGGTATAATACGCCGAAAGTACTTGGGTATTTATACTTTAGCACTGTATGAACGTTTATTTTCTCCAAATTTATATATATATATATATATATATATATATATATATATATATATATATATATATATATATATATATATATATATATATATATATATATATATATATATATATATATATATATATATATATATACTGTGAAATTATTCAAAATAAACTATGATTAAACTAACAATACGTGTAGTAGGGATTTTGAGTTGAAGTGGAGGCATATTCTCAATCCAAGTTCCAAGGTTCGCTTGCCTCACGTTCAGGGAAATCTTAAGATTCTTTTCTAGATTTTGTTCAAAAATACATCATATAATACCATGTGGCATCGGCTCTGCTCACCCCCTTACTCCGCCCATGATCTACCAAATGAAATCCAAATGATGACAACTAATTGAAACATTGTATTTTTCAGGAGCTTGTCGGCCATACGGTGACTCAGAGGAACTGGAAAGGCATTGTGATAGCATTGGTTGTGATAATTGTTGTTTGTGCTCTTATAGTCGCTACAATTCTACTTATATCTCCAGGTAGGTCTACTCCGTGTTAGTTTTATTAATTCTATCATTATTGTAGGTCTCATCCTTGTAAGTTGTTATTAATTTTATTATAGTAGGTCAACTCCGTCTTTAAACTTAGTTTTATTAATTTTATCATACTTATATCTCCTCGCAGGTCTACTCCGTGTTAGTTTTTTTTTAAATTTATTATCATTATATCTCTTAATAGGTCTACTCCGTGTTAGTTTTATCAGTTTTATCATACTTCTATCTCCTAAGTCTAATCCGTGTTAAAAATTAATTAATATCGTCATTGTAGGTCTACTCCGTGTTAAATTTATCATAATCATTAAGGTCAGTCTACTCCGTGTTAAATTTAGTATTATCATAGTAAACCTACTACGTTTTATTTTCATCATTATTGTTTATTCTTAATTGATTTCTACTCCATTTTACGATTATAATTATTCAACAAGTAAAGTTGGGAAAATGCACTTTATGACCACGAAATGGCGGTGTAACTTGAAACCCCGATTCTGGATATGATATGGTTAAATCCGTGTTTCGTTTATATTCATCTTTAAACATACTTAAAAGATATCTGCTTGGTTTTACAACTATCTGTGTCACACATTTATTTACTTAATGATGATATAACTTAAGGAATAATCCCTTTCAATTGAGAATATACTTTTACTTTTTACTTCCTCCTTCGCTCCTTGTGGCGAAGGGATTGCCTTTAATATACTAATTTCCAAACGCAAAAGAAGCAAAAGGTGCTTCAGCTCTTTGGCCAATGAATAATGTTTTGGAAAAATTGTAGGGCACCGAAAATAACCTTTTGAATAATAACGAATAACGAATATAGCATTTTTACAGCTTATTGGACATTTAACTCAAACTCAAAAAGTAATAAACTTTTTCATTTACATAATTAAAGGTTCTCAGCAGAAAACAAAAATAACCGCCGATACATTGACTTCTTCTAGTTTGGTATAAACATATTTATTTAAGCTCGGTTGGGAAACATGTTTTTGCAACTTATATTAATCACTTTCGAGTCAGCTTCCTGGAACCAACCAGTGCTGGTGTCATATGAAGAATCCCTATTAGGGCTCAATCCCATGATCCCTGGGTTGAGAGGCAGAGATCTTAACCACTAGACCACCTCTACTCTTCTCTTTCTCTGGAACAGGGGCTCTTTATCTGTTTATATTATTTATTTGTAGGCAGTAAAGTTGAAGTAAGTGATTTTCTGTTGTGATAATGTTATCATTACAATCACACACTTCACAATTTCAATAATGTTTGTGACCCAGTTCACTATATAGTTCACAACTATGTTCACAACTCATATTTGAAGCAATTAAATAAACCGTTACAACGTGTTTAATACATTATTATGTTTAATCGATTATCATTATTTATTCATATTTATATAATTTTTATATTGATAATTATTATTATAAATATTACAATGTATTATTATAATTATAATTATTATTATTATCATTATTATTATCATTATTATTATTATCATTATTATTATCATTATTATTATTATTATTATTATGATTTATTTATTTATTTTATTATTATTATTATTATTATTATTATTTATTATTATTATCATCATTATTATTATCATTATTATTATTATTATTATTATTATTATTATTATTATAATTATTATTATTATTATTATTACATTATACTTTTGGCATATAAGTATTGATAAAAACTTCAACATTTATATCTCTATATTCTGGAAGATTGCTCAAAGATGTTTTTATGTTTATCAGCAGTTTTTGGCATAACTTACATCGATAAGCGTTGAATAATTACAGTTAAAATGAATGAAGAATAAACTAAAAAAAACAACGAAAATGCGCATGAATTGCGAATTTTGAATATCGTTATTACGGACTACTTTTTATTTGAAATTTACCATTCTGTTTCAGGTGAAGATGATGAAAGCACGAAAGCAAAGTTTACATTTGAAGATTTCATGAGTAGAAAATACTCCCCTAGATCCTTCTATTATACTTGGATAAAAGGTATTTGAGCCGCGCCATGACAAAACCAACATAATTGGTTTGCGACCAGCATGGATTCAGACCAGCCTGCGCATCCGCGCAGTCTGATCAGGATCCATGCTGTTCGCTTACCAATTCTATTACAAGTAGAGAAACTGATAGCGAACAGCATGGATCCTGATCAGACTGCGCGGATGCGCAGGCTGGTCTGGATCCATGCTGGTCGCAAACCCATTATGTTGGTTTTGTCATGACACGGCTCATTTATTATATACTTTTCAATAAAATTTGAGAAATATTGAAATAAAATGCGTATTTTCGTCTTTCCATATATTTTGCTGCAAAAAATATTTTACAACAGTAAACATATTTTCCGTATTTTCACTGGTGTCTTGTTGGTCTACTTTCTTCTACATTCAGTCAATTCACTAAATTTTAGAGGAAGTCTTTCAAATTCTAAGATCATTTTCAAATTCTTAGATCAACTTAAAACTTCTAAGATCAAAAAAGTAAAAAATACCGGTATATAATAAACAGAAAAAAATCAAACTTTTGCTATAAATACAGGATTTATTTTCATCTTGTGGTATGAAAATTATCATATTTTACTCCTGGCAACGGCCACTCATGAAATATTTATTTCCATATCACGAAAAAAAATCCTGAATTTATAGCAAAAAAAATGAATATGCTATATTGAAATACTATACATAAAATATATTTGATCTATATTTCTTATACATGTATCAGATTCCGTCGTTTACAGAAAAAAAATGAATATTAATTAATTTTCATGGATTAATGAATATTAATTTATGACTGTACATTAATGAATATTAATTAAAAACTATGGACAGCAATGAATTCATGAAAATTGAATAATTTACATAAATCAAAATGTATTAATTATTTCCATAGATTAATTAAAATAAATATTCATTTATTGCCACTGATATGTAAATTTGAATAAATTACCATCGTATTATTAATTTTAGCCTAATAGCTACCATGTATTAATGAATATTAATTATTATTAATGAATATTCATTAATTACAGATGTTGACGCCTTTTATTACAAGAATGATGATGGTGCTGTTTTACGATATAATTGCTCAACTAACTCCTCCAATATTATTATGGATAACTCCACATTTGTAAGTAGCCCCATATTATTATTGATAACTCCACATTTGTTTTGTTTGTTTGATTGGGTTTTACGTCGCACCGATACAGTATAGGTCTTATGGCGACGTTCCAGCTTTACTGGTGGAGGAAGACCTCAGGTGCCCTGCCGTGCATTATTTCAGGCACGAACGGGCGTCTGAGTAGAACCACCGACGTTCCGTAAGATAGCTGGATAGCTTCCTCACATGAAGTCCACATTTGTAAGTAGCCCCATATAATTTAGGATAATTAAACATTTGTTAATTGCTTAATATTGTTATTGATAACTCCATATTTGTAAGTAACGCCATATTATTATGGATACATTGTAACTGAACATTAAATTTTGTAAGTAGCCAATATTACTATGGATAATTCCAAATGTGTAAGTTGCCCCATATTATTATGGATAACTACACTTTGTAAGTACACTTTGTAACTGAACATTAAGTTTTGTAAGTAGCCAGTTTTATTATGGATAATTATACGTTAATAAGTGGCCCAATATTATAATCCATAACTCCACATTTGTAAGTTGCCCAATATCTTTATGGATAACTCCACTTTGTAAGTACGTGTAGCCAGTTTTATTATGGATAACTCCACATTTGTAAATAGTCCGAATTATTATGGACAACTCCACATTTGTAAGTAGCCCCATATTATTATGGATAACTCCACATTTGACGTTGCCCAGTATTATTATTGATAACTCCTCTTTTTTTTAAGTTGCCCAGTATTATTATTGGTAGCACTTCATTTTTAGTATTATTATCCATATTATTATGGATAACTCAACATTAGTAAGTTGCCAAATATTATGATGGTTTACTCCACATTTGTAACGGCAATTAAGCCATTTTGGCGTCGTAGATTTTACTTAGATATTTGCAATATGATATAATAAGCGGTACTATGTGATGAACAGAATCTAAAATTTAATGTGAATTGCATCCCAGAAATATTATGAAGCTGGTCTCTTTATAATGATGGAATTAGTCATTCTGTATTTTACAGTACTAGAGACGGTTGTGTAGACAATGTCGGCAAAGGTGCTTTTTTGCGCAAAATGTCTGAGATTGATTATATTGTTTTGTTTTATTTTATTTTTTCCTACTAGAAAGAGTTGGAAACTTCCAGTTATACTATATCGCCTGGAGAATATTTTGCATTGCTGCCTTATGAAATCAAAAAGGTAAACCCTTTATACACATATTGTGTTGCACATGCACACATACAAAAAAAATATGATATAAAGAGAAAATAAAATAACATAGTGTGTCATAGTTACAACTCTTACAGTGTAGTTTCTACAGTGTACTTAAACATGTGGCATGAGAATTATTTATAAAACTTTATACATATTTGTAAGGTCTGTTTTCATTTGGCATTTGTGTTGTATACAGTACTTGTTTATAGTATATTTTTATTATGGTGGCTGATTTGATACGCTTTTGTGCGTCTGGTTGGCGCTAGTGACAACACGACAAAGCGCCAAACGGCGCGTTGTCGGACTTTCGTCTTGCCTTCCTGTCGCTAACAATGCACGCCAAATGGCGCGTTGTCGTGTGGCGTGTTGTCGCGATGTCACATTGTCGCTCGATTCAAATCGAAGGCTAGTTATAAGCCAAGCGACAGGGCGCATCATGACAACGCGCCGCACGCCAACGCGCCGTTTGGCGTGCTTCGCTAGAGACAAGACGACAGTGTGACAACGCGCCGTTTTGCACTTTGACGTGTTGTCGCTGACGACAAGACGAAAGTTCGACAACGCGTCGTTTGGCGCTTTGTCGTGTTGTCGGTAGCGCCAACTAGACGCACTAAATCGTACCAAATCAGCCACCATAATTTATAATACAAATACATGTACTGCACTTTTGTAACGTCGCTTAAACAATGGATAATGTGACGTTTATACAATAAACATTATAATACTGCAGGTTTGTAACGTCGCTTTTCATTGGATAATCGTGACGTTATTATTATTAAAAAGTACTTCATAACTTCACAGCAGCCGTGTACAAAGTTGATTATCCAATGAAAAGCATCGTTACAAACGTACATAATTATAACTAATAATACATACGACTGCTGCGAATTTATGAATATATCAAAGAAAGCAATTGCGAAATATTTTAAATTTGATATAGACAATTTCAATAAGTAATGTGACCGTGAACAACACAATGGTTGGTTATATAACCGGAGTCGCCGGGTCATATAACATATCTTTATCACGATTGCCATTAATAAGACATATCGTATATGACTATATGTAATGAAGCATGTATATATAACGTTGCTGTTTCTTTTACTTCACAGATATATAGACATTCCTCTAGTAAAAAATACAAAGTTGTGAATTTACAAACCAAGTAAGTATATATAGGTAAAGCTTTTTTAATCTTACATTACGTCATGACTTTATGTACATCTACTGATAAGAAATAACAATAAACAATTTCCTATCTGCTTCTTTCTATTTCAATGCAGATAAAATCTGTGATAACTTGATAAACTCCCAGTATGAATTTGATTTATTTATCGATTTTATTATCATCGATGTAATTATCAATTTTTTATAAATTATCTCCCGCTTTAGAGATATCAAAGCTGCATGTCTCAAGCTTAGCCAAAATTTTTCAAGAAAATCAAACTTTAGAAAAATTTACTCAAGAAAACTTTAGAAAATTTACTCAAGAAAGATTAAAAGAAAAGTTAAAATTGTAAAGATTTAAATAATGATTTACATGTTATGCGATATTAATGAATGATTTTGCAGTATTATATCGCCATATATCTACTGCGGGACTAACGCAGAAGGGGTTATATTCGTATATTTTAACCTTTATTTGGAAAATTTACTTGGATTTTAAGTATCATTTGCAATGCATTAATAAATTGCTTTTTTTTCACTCTGGAGGCATGCTGTTTTAATAAAAACAAACAAATTCTTCATGTACGTGTACGAAACATTTCTTAAAGAATGAAAAGTAAGCAAAGATGAAAACGGAATAAAAGTAAACAAAATTTCTTATTCCTGGTATAGATAACAGATTTGCACTTAAACTATAACTTCTGCTTACCAACGCCCTTTGATAGACAAATATTTAGGCTGTTTCTGAGAGGTCTTACTCTATATACAGAGGTTAAATACGAGTATAGTTGAAACCTCCACTTTTATGGTGAAATATTGTTGAGATTATTTTTTTCTTCAGAGTGCCGTTTTGCGGAGGTTTAACAGTATATTGTGACCCAGAACGATCCCTAAATGCTTTAATATAGTTCGTGTTCATTATAGCAATGGCAATATAAATGTACCAAAAATATTAAACTTTTACAACTTATATTATTTAAGACAAAATAGGCCGCTTCATGACAAAACCAACATAGTGCGTTTGCGACCAGCATGGATCCAGACCAGCCTGCGCATCCGCGCAGTCTGATCAGGATCCATGCTGTTCGCTTACAAACCCTATAGCAAGTAGAGAATTTGATAGCAAACAGCATGGATCCTGATCAGACTGCGCGGATGGAAAATGTTCTACATAGCTGCAGTATTATGCTAAGGGCATCATCACAACTATAAATTATCGTTTTTCTTTATTATATGAGTTCTTAAAAATATGAGAATTTGCTCTTATAATTATAATTATGACTTTTTATGCTTATAAACAGAGAAGCTACAAATTTGCAAGGACCAAGAGGCCAGACATTCCAGTATGTATCCTGGTCGCCCACAGTGGACGGTGTGGTAGGTGCTTATGAGCATTTTGCTAATATTTTAACGAAAACAAAAATAAATTTTATAATGTTTATATTGAAGGTACAAAAATGATTAAGAAAACGAGATAACTAGTATTTCATTATATGAAAATTTGTTCGGAAGTATTACTTTATGATCTACTCAATTTTTTTATATAATTATACTTTTTATAGAGCATGTACATTCTTTTTGATAGAGGTTTTACTCCCTTTACATGGGAAGGGGGATATATAGATGCTCGGATATCTATCTGTTAAAATACATGTACTCATAAATGAAAGAATTAGAAATATTGATGAAATGAAATCCAAATTTTCATTATCCGTATTTACACTGTAAACAAATATTTTTCAATGTACAGTGAAATGCATTTTTCTGTGATTTCTTGCAGAACTACTTTCTGCTTAATTCAGCTAATACACAAAATTAAAGGGGAAATATTTCAAATCGTTAGGTCATGAAAATGGAGAAAAATGTATATAATTAACAGAAAAGGTTTTTTTTTTTTAAAATATGGGATTTATTTTCATCGCGGCATGAAGATGATAATATTTTACTAAAGGCTCCCGCTACCCGTTAAATATTTATTTTTATACCACACGATGTAAATAAATCCAGCATTTAGAGAAAAAAAACTTGTATATGCTCTATATAAGAGCATATATGTCCGTGAAGTACGCGGGCTAACGGGCTAGCAGTCTAGCGGGCTAACAGTGTGAACTGGGCGGGCTAGCAGCCTAGCGGGTTAACAGTGTGAACTGGGCGGGCTAGCAGTCTAGCGGGCTAGCAGTGTGAACTGGGCGGGCTGGCGGGCCAGCGGGCTAAAATCTAAAACTTTATTGATTGAACATAAAAACGTTATGATACATTACCTGGCAGTGTGAAGTGGGCGGGCTAGCAGTGTAGCGGGCTAGCAGTGTGAACTGGGCGGGCTGGCGGGCCAGCGGGCTAAAATCTAAAACTTTATTAATGAACATAAAAATGTTATGATACATTACCTGGCAGTGTGAAGTGGGCGGGCTAACAGTGTAGCGGGCTAGCAGTGTGAACTGGGCGGGCTGGCGGGCCAGCGGGGTAAAATCTAAAACTTTATTGATTCAACATTAAAACCTTATGATACATTACCTAGCAGTGTGAATTGGACGGGCTGACAGTGTAGCGGGCTAGCAGTGTGAACTGGGCGGGCTGGCGGGCCAGCGGGCTAGCGGGCTAAAATCTAAAAACTTTATTGATTGAACATAAAAATGTTATGATACATTACCTGGCAGTGTGAAGTGGGCGGGCTAGCAGTGTAGCGGGCTAGCAGTGTGAACTGGGCGGGCTGGCGGGCCAGCGGGCTAAAATCTAAAACTTTATTAATGAACATAAAAAATGTTATGATACATTACCTGGCAGTGTGAAGTGGGCGGGCTAACAGTGTAGCGGGCTAGCAGTGTGAACTGGGCGGGCTGGCGGGCCAGCGGGCTAAAATCTAAAAACTTTATTAATGATCATAAAAATGTTATGATACATTACCTGGCAGTGTGAAGTGGGCGGGCTTTACAGTGTAGCGGGCTAGCAGTGTGAACTGGGCGGGCTGGCGGGCCAGCGGGCTAAAAATCTAAAACTTTATTGATTGAACATAAAAACGTTATGATACATTACCTGGCAGTGTGAAGTGGGCGGGCTAGCAGTGTAGCGGGCTAGCAGTGTGAACTGGGCGGGCTGGCGGGCCAGCGGGCTAAAATCTAAAACTTTATTGATTGAACATAAAAACGTTATGATACATTAACTGGCAGTGTGAAGTGGGCGGGCTAACAGTGTAGCGGGCTAGCAGTGTGAACTGGGCGGGCTGGCGGGCCAGCGGGCTAAAATCTAAAACTTTATTGATTGAACATAAAAACGTTATGATACATTACCTGGCAGTGTGAAGTATGCGGGCTAGCAGTGTAGCGGGCTAGCAGTGTGAACTGGGCGGGCTGGCGGGCCACGCGGGCTAAAATCTAAAACTTTATTGATTGAACATAAAAAATGTTATGATACATTACCTGGCAGTGTGAAGTGGGCGGGCTAACAGTGTAGCGGGCTAGCAGTGTGAACTGGGCGGGCTGGCGGGCCAGCGGGGGTAAAATCTAAAACTTTATTGATTCAACATTAAAACCTTATGATACATTTCCTAGCAGTGTGAATTGGACGGGCTGACAGTGTAGCGGGCTAGCAGTGTGAACTGGGCGGGCTGGCGGGCCAGCGGGCTAGCGGGGTAAAAATCTAAAACTTTATTGATTGAACATAAAAATGTTATGATACATTACCTGGCAGTGTGAAGTGGGCGGGCTAGCAGTGTAGCGGGCTAGCAGTGTGAACTGGGCGGGCTGGCGGGCCAGCGGGCTAAAATCTAAAACTTTATTAATGAACATAAAAATGTTATGATACATTACCTGGCAGTGTGAAGTGGGCGGGCTAACAGTGTAGCGGGCTAGCAGTGTGAACTGGGCGGGCTGGCGGGCCAGCGGGGTAAAATCTAAAACTTTATTGATTCAACATTAAAACCTTATGATACATTACCTAGCAGTGTGAATTGGACGGGCTGACAGTGTAGCGGGCTAGCAGTGTGAACTGGGCGGGCTGGCGGGCCAGCGGGCTAGCGGGCTAAAATCTAAAACTTTATTGATTGAACATAAAAATGTTATGATACATTACCTGGCAGTGTGAAGTGGGCGGGCTAGCAGTGTAGCGGCTAGCAGTGTGAACTGGGCGGGCTGGCGGGCCAGCGGGCTAAAATCTAAAACTTTATTAATGAACATAAAAATGTTATGATACATTACCTGGCAGTGTGAAGTGGGCGGGCTAACAGTGTAGCGGGCTAGCAGTGTGAACTGGGCGGGCTGGCGGGCCAGCGGGCTAAAATCTAAAACTTTATTAATGATCATAAAAATGTTATGATACATTACCTGGCAGTGTGAAGTGGGCGGGCTTACAGTGTAGCGGGCTAGCAGTGTGAAACTGGGCGGGCTGGCGGGCCAGCGGGCTAAAATCTAAAACTTTATTGATTGAACATAAAAACGTTATGATACATTACCTGGCAGTGTGAAGTGGGCGGGCTAGCAGTGTAGCGGGCTAGCAGTGTGAACTGGGCGGGCTGGCGGGCCAGCGGGCTAAAATCTAAAACTTTATTGATTGAACATAAAAACGTTATGATACATTAACTGGCAGTGTGAAGTGGGCGGGCTAACAGTGTAGCGGGCTAGCAGTGTGAACTGGGCGGGCTGGCGGGCCAGCGGGCTAAAATCTAAAACTTTATTGATTGAACATAAAAACGTTATGATACATTACCTGGCAGTGTGAAGTATGCGGGCTAGCAGTGTAGCGGGCTAGCAGTGTGAACTGGGCGGGCTGGCGGGCCAGCGGGCTAAAATCTAAAACTTTATTGATTGAACATAAAAAATGTTATGATACATTACCTGGCAGTGTGAAGTGGGCGGGCTAACAGTGTAGCGGGCTAGCAGTGTGAACTGGGCGGCTGGCGGGCCAGCGGGGTAAAATCTAAAAACTTTATTGATTCAACATTAAAACCTTATGATACATTTCCTAGCAGTGTGAATTGGACGGGCTGACAGTGTAGCGGGCTAGCAGTGTGAACTGGGCGGGCTGGCGGGCCAGCGGGCTAGCGGGGTAAAATCTAAAACTTTATTGATTGAACATAAAAATGTTATGATACATTACCTGGCAGTGTGAAGTGGGCGGGCTAGCAGTGTAGCGGGCTAGCAGTGTGAACTGGGCGGGCTGGCGGGCCAGCGGGCTAAAATCTAAAACTTTATTGATTGAACATAAAAACGTTATGATACATTACCTGGCAGTGTGAAGTGGGCGGGCTAGCAGTGTAGCGGGCTAGCAGTGTGAACTGGGCGGGCTGGCGGGCCAGCGGGCTAAAATCTAAAACTTTATTGATTGAACATAAAAACGTTATGATACATTACCTGGCAGTGTGAAGTGGGCGGGCTAGCAGTGTAGCGGGCTAGCAGTGTGAACTGGGCGGGCTGGCGGGCCAGCGGGCTAAAATCTAAAACTTTATTGATTGAACATAAAAACGTTATGATACATTACCTGGCAGTGTGAAGTTTGGCGGGTTAGCAGTGTAGCGGGCTAGCAGTGTGAACTGGGCGGGCTGGCGGCCCAGCGGGCTAAAATCTAAAACTTTATTTGATTGAACATAAAAATGTTATGATACATTACCGTGGCAGTGTGAAGTGGGCGGGCTAGCAGTGTAGCGGGCTAGCAGTGTGAACTGGGCGGGCTGGCGGGCCAGCGGGCTAAAATCTAAAACTTTATTGATTCAACATTAAAACCTATGATACATTTCCTAGCAGTGTGAATTGTACGGGCTGACAGTGTAGCGGGCTAGCAGTGTGAACTGGGCGGGCTGGCGGGCCAGCGGGCTAAAATCTAAAAACTTTATTGATTGAACATAAAAATGTTATGATACATTACCTGGCAGTGTGAAGTGGCGGGCTTACAGTGTAGCGGGCTAGCAGTGTGAACTGGGCGGGCTGGCGGGCCAGCGGGTTAAAATCTAAAACTTTATTGATTGAACATAAAAAATGTTATGATATATTACCTAGCAGTGTGAAGTTGGCGGGCTAGCAGTGTAGCGGGCTAGCAGTGTGAACTGGGCGGGCTGGCGGGCCAGCGGGCTAAAATCTAAAACTTTATTGATTCAACATTAAAACCTTATGATACATTTCCTAGCAGTGTGAATTGTACGGGCTGACAGTGTAGCGGGTTAGCAGTGTGAACTGGGCGGGCTGGCGGGCCAGCGGGCCAGCGGGCTAAAATCTAAAACTTTATTGATTGAACATAAAAATGTTATGATACATTACCCTGGCAGTGTGAAGTGGGCGGGCTAACAGTGTAGCGGGCTAGCAGTGTGAACTGGGCGGTCTGGCGGGCCAGCGGGCTAAACTTTAATATTTCTTAGAAGTGTGACAATATGAAAACCTCATGATACATTT